GAAGGCATCCTCCAGTTGCCTCAGGTGGTCTGTCAGAGGTTATATGCTCAGTCACGCTGCCATCCGGGATCCTCTGGGCTGCAGTTTGACCTGGAAAACTGGGGCAATCTTAATTTTAGGACTTGCCTGTGAGTCGCAGACATGTGAACCTGGCCCGGGTCAGATCAGTGAAAGACCTTAATGAAAGGATGGTCAAGGAGTCCCTGCAGGCAGGATACGGGCTCCGAGCCATTGCATAAGCACTTGCTGCCTTTTGCCCCTAAGCACCACTTGTGGCCATGTGCCACTGTCCGTTGCTCCTCCACCTGAACTTGGGGGGCTCATTTCACCTGCTTCACTCATCTGAAGGTTACTATTAAGCTGAGAGGATCTCCCCTATATTTTACAGGGGTGTTGTTACTCCAAAGGGAGACTGAGCCCACCAGTCCTGTGCGCCTTGCATTAACTGCAACTAATTTCTCCCAAGAAACATCCTCGGGTGTCTGCAGTAGGTGAAATGAAGTCTAGCCTTTGAGTCTAATTCTCCCACCAACACCGAGGTAGCAGCAGGTTACAAAGGCCTTGGAAATCTGATTTAACTCTCTTCAGCCAGTGGTTGGGAAGAGAAGAGCCCAGGGGAGCTTCTCTTTTATCCATGAAGACGTGAAATTTCATTTGTGGCTGACAATGCTCTTAATCCTGCCTTTTTATTGATGAAGAATCTCTGGGTACCTCAACTGTTTCTCAGTTTCCCTAGACAGCAATTGACCTTGTTTCAGCTATGCATCAAAATGCACTGGCAATCAAGGTGCTATTGATTTAAACCTAATGGCCAGCCACTCAGGAATTTCACCCGGAAAAGAAAAATCAATGCCACATTTTTTTTTTTTTTTCTTTTCTTTTCCTTCTGTTAAGATATTATAATGATAAGGCATAAGAGTCTTGCCAGCTCCTTACCATTAAGCAATATACTTGCAGGGACGAGAACATTGGGTCAGGTTCTGGTAAGGTAGCCAGCCAGCTACAGATTGAAATGACTCCAGGGTTAAACAATTTTCGTTGATTGCATGCTGCCATCCGCATCTCTCTCTGCTGACCTTCCCCAAGGCATGCGAGCTGCACTGCTATGTGGGACTCTGGAGCAATGTCTTGAGCAATGCATTAGCCCTATTACTGGAGGAGCTCTGTGTGGGAGGGATGCTCCCTGTCTTGTCCTTGCCTCATTTTGGATGTTTTCTTCCCCCCCTTCCCATCCCAAGGGGAAAGTGTCACTCAGAATTTGCAAGATTGGTTTACAAGACTGGTTTAAATGCATGACAGGTGAGCACCGGCCAGATAGATACTTAGATCTATGGTAGGACTGAGCAACACCACAGGCTCCCTTCTATCTAGTAAGTGAGGCATGCCAGGATCCATCCTGTCGCCCATAGGCTGAATGGTCCAACATCAACCTGCTAAACTCCCTTACCTGCCAAAACAAGGTGGTTTTCTCCTTTGGGCTTCTCAGGAACATGCATGGCACTTATTTACTGCAGCGTAGGTAGCTCCCTCTCCCTCTCTGGGAGAGGGCACAGGCTGAAGCCAGGCTATGGGTGTGCTAACACTTCACTGGTATGGGTGATTAGGGAGGATGCTTGAGCCTGTAACATAGTTGTTCTCAGTTCCTTGGGATGGTGGAGATACCAGCCATAGAGTACCAAAGCCATCATGAGCAGTCCTGGTTTAGGTCTTTTGCAGAATCTTACCTGTCACACTCCAAACACTTTGGAGCCAAATCACCTTTTGAAATGATGCTGAGTCGCAGGCCTCCTTTTAATCAGCCAAAGGGACTTGGCTCCTGCATCACATAAGCTGATGAACATTGAAGAGCAAGAGATGGTATGGGGCAGTCCTGACTCCTGATGACACTGACATCCCAGTGACGTTCTGAAGTGCTCCTGGGTCTCAGGTCACTTAGGCATACTAAAGCATTTTCTCCTGTGGCCTCTGCTTATTTTTCTCTTCTTGTTGCTGAGGGGTGTGAGAAGAACTGAAGGATGGTTTTCATTTCCTATGATTTTGGAGTGTCCCCATGCAAGTCAACTTTAAAGAGATGGGAGTGACCCTTTCTCATAATCCATCCCTTTCAAGATGACCACTTAAAACTGCATGAGGAACATGTACCAGTCCGCATACCAGCTACCTCTGGTGTCCCTGTGCCTGTAGAGCCTCATTTGCACTCATTCAAAGTGAGCATTTTCCATGAGACAGTACAGCTGTCAGAGGAACGCCTGGAGTGAGACCTGTGTTTCCAGAGCCAAGCGTTATCTGGATGATAGGCGAGTGCAGAGACAGCATGAAGGGAATCTGACAGCGCAGCTCGAAGGCATGTGATAAAGCTGCCTTAAAATGGCATTTTCCCAAGTGCTGCTCAAGCCAGACAATACCCATTTATTGGAATGATGTGACCGCATGGAGGTGTGAGGCCTGACTCAACCTTTGCTGCAGCCATTGATGCAGTGACCAACTATTGACCTCTTCATCCATTTTTCTGGGAGGGCATCTGTTTGATTTGTGCATCTTCTTCCAATTTCTACTACATCTGTGGCATATTTTTGCTGACTATTTCAGTTTGTTTGGACAAATGGCAGGGCTAAGAATGCTTATGAGATAGTTTAGTTTTGGGTGAAGTCTCTCTGGCTTCAGTGGGGTTGATGGTTGGTGTCACATGTCAGGGAGCTTTGCACATTTTTCAAGCCAGCTCAGCGGGAACTGAGCAAAGTCTGACAATTTACTCTTCAATTGCAGAAGCTTTTTCTCAACTTCTGCCTGTGGTGATGTACTTTCATTTGGGAAGGGGTGGAAGGAAGAAGGCGAAGGTTTGTGGGCAAGCTGTTGGAGGCATGGCAGGATGATCTCCTAAGCAAGTGGTCCCACCCAACCTGGGTAAAGCAGCGGGTGTTCCCCAACTGAGGTTGTGACTGAGTCCCACCCAGCGTCTGAAGCCTCCTAAACAGCAAAATTGGGACAGCTTAGCAGCCCACAGGAGGTCTTGCAGGTTGCCAGTGCTCAGTGGGGAGCGGCGGATGGGAGATTGTTGTTCTGCAAGCACCAATCCTAGGGCAAATGTCAACACGTTGGCCTCCCCACCCACTCTCGCCTCCTGAACTTCGCTTTCTTCCTCCAAAAGCAGCTCCACCTCATACCAATTTGTCTGTGCTAACACAGGCTGATGTTACCCTGCCAGGAGTGGGAAGCGGGCATGGTCCTCTGTTTATTTAGCACAGGCATGGTTGCATATGGAAATGAGATTTCCTTGGAAAGGCAGGGCACCTGCTCTCATTCTTATCTGCTGCAAAGGGATTGAGGGCTTTGGGACTAATCCTTTGGTGAAACTGAGTCCAAGCTTCCAAGCTAATCTGCAAATTGGTTTAATTTTGCCAGCAGGTTCCTCAGGTTTGGGGCCGAGAGCCATGCGGTGTAAATTCTATGGGATCCCACCATGCTGTATGTTCACTTGTGTAGCTTTCCTGCCAGATCACTTAGGACAAGCACTGAACTACTTGACAGCACAATAAAATGGTTTTTCTACGTGTTAAACCAAGTGCTGTGAATGCAAACATTGCAGCATACTTAGTTAAGCTCTCTTGTATGTTAAACAAGTTTCTTGTAAGAACAGAAGACCAGCTCTTAGCAATGGTTTAAATATCTCTTGCAAGCCAAAAGGGAGTCTGCAGATCTTTGAAGTCTCGAGTTGTTCAGAGAAAATAAAATTAGGCTTTTGCTAGCCATTGCTCTGTTAGAGGATCTCTGCTATAAAAGGGAAATAGAGAGAAAGCATCAAGTAAAAATAATATGCATGTATGTGTGTTTGTATGTGTAATTATTGTTTTCCTCCAGGCAGCACACTGGGAACAGGTAATCCTACCTTAAGAATTTGGCCTTAGAGGTTCTAATATGAAGCTCTTTGAAGCCAGGAACATTTCTGTGATTTCTATGGTCAGGCCCAGAAACAAAACCCTGAGCTCATTGTTGCTGTGGCAGATACACCCTTATTTCAAAAAGCGTTTTCCTTTGGCTGCACCTGAGCAAAAGTGGTGTCCTGGTGAGAAAGTGTTTGGGCTGGAAAAAAAGTACTTTTAGCCTTCTGAACCACCCCTTTGATTTCTCATGCGTTAGTGCAACCCACACAGAACAGAGCCAGGCTGGTGGTCTGGTGAGACAGAACGGCTGTTGTTCCTGTGCAAAAGGAGACAACCATCTCCTGGGGCTCAAGCGACTGTGCCTCCATGTCTTCCAGGTGAATCAGGATGGGGATGGTCACGCTGACAAGCCCCATCACAGCCCTTCAATCTGTCGCCCCGGGGCAGCCTCGGAGGCATCGGAAGAAGTAGGGCACCCAGAGCAACACGGGGGATTTGAGACCCCATCCAGAGGAGTTTTAATTCCTCTGGGTCAGATCTGATCTCACCTTCAGGTGGTGTTTTGTCAGTCAATTTGAAGAGTGCTGCCTGCTTCTTTTCCTTCAGCTAGGTTTTCAAAGGGTAGTAAAGCACTTGCCAAGGGTGAAGGGTGGCTGCAGAGACTGACAGGTGAACCCACCAGCTGCCCGCCCTTCGCAATTGCAGATTTCTGAGAACTGAAAACAGTTCTTTTATCTTTCGGGGTTTTTTCCCATCTCTCTTATCAGAGTGTTTAGAGGAAAGGGACATTGTCCCCAGAATGACAGTGGCGTACCTGTGGGAGGATGGAGGAGGCATCATAGCCCTTCTGTGGCGGGGCCCACCATCACCAAGATATCTCAGGAAGTCCTCTGTCACCACACGTTGTCATCCACTCCTGTTCACCCCGTGGATTTGGGGTGGGTTTTTTTGCCTCTCCGAGTGGAGTTATATTTGGAGAGCTAGGGCAGGGTGTGCGCATATGTGGGGCTGTATTTCCTCATAAGGTGATACCAAAGACAAGCTGATTCGGGTGCCTTGATACGTTATTCATTGCCTTTGTCCTCACCTTGGTATCTGTTCCCTTTCTTCACCAGGAAAATGGGAGCCACTGACCCAGTGTGACCTGTCTCTAAGGTACAAGAAAATAAAGACCACCCGTACCAGTCCCTCAGACACCTCCCAGTATGGATGGCCTGGTCGAGCAGAACAGTGTGCTAATGCACAATAAGATTGCTGAAGCCGGGAAAAGGAATGGTTTAATTAACACGAGGAACTTAGTGGCAGAGAGCCGAGATGGTCTGGTCTCTGTGTACCCAACCCCCCAGTACCAGAGCCACCGAGCGGGCAGCCATTCCTCTCCGAGCTGCCTTGAGAACGGCAGGAATGACCCCGTGCAGCAGCTCCTGGACCCCAACATGCTGCAGCAGACAGTGGAATCTCACTACCGGCCCAACATCATCCTCTACTCGGAGAATGTGCTGCGCTCGTGGGGCGAGAGCATTGGCTCGGAGTGCTGTGAAACTACCTTCATTGAGGACCGCTCTCCCACCAAAGACAGCCTGGAGTACCCGGACAGCAAGTTCATTGATCTCTCAGCGGATGACATCAAGATTCACACCCTCTCCTATGATGTGGAGGAAGAGGAGGATTTCCAGGAGCTAGAGGTCAGATGTCATTTGGGATATGTGGGGAAGGCTGGGGGGAGGAGGGTGTGTTTGGGGTTAAGCGTACAGCCTCCAAGAGCTGGTCTGCAGGGCATCAGCTGCTTTGGAAGCCGGTCTGCATGGGATCAGCTGTATCACTCTCTCCTCCGGCCAGGACAGTGAGCGATCGCTCATCTTTATTTGTTGGGTAAAGTCCCAACTCTGTCGATACTAATGGCAAAATTCCCCCTGGCCCTAATGGAGATCAGCTTTTCCCTCCTGCCTCTGAATGGGCTGGTCAGAAACTGAAGAAGACCCATGTGCTTAGATGCTGTGTAAGGTTGGGGCCAGGAGCATCTGCCCACGTACGTGGAGCTTGTTTTACTCAGCAGGCCAACATCATCTCTTACGTTCTCCTGACTTGAACTGGGCATAAAGCAGATTGTTTTGCATACTGGCTCAAACACGAAACATTTCTGTCTCTGAATGAACACAAAATCAGAAGTCTTTGGGTTTCAAGCTGCAATGAATCCCATGTCTCTGAAATAAAAGATTTTTCTTTGATGGAATGAAACACTTCATTAGATCCCAAATGCAATGTTTTCTTTTAGGTTCCTGTGCTTCATTGATTACTCACAAAAGTAAAGTAAGATACATTTTGTTCTCAAGTGGAGCAGACTGTGGAAATCAACTTCCTTCTTTCTTAAATGATGCATTTTTTACTTTAAAAAATCTTTTTGGTTTGGGCTGAAACCAGCTGCCCAAGTGCAGCACAGATTTGTGTTTGCCGGTGTGTGTGGGAATGGAGGGTGTGCATAATGCTGCTGATCCCAAAACTTTCTCCAGCATTAGTCACAGACTCCTAACCTAGCAAAGACCATTTGGCTGTCTGAAGCAAAGCCATAGCTTCAACTCGAATGTCCGAGTTGAGATTGAGAGACTATTTGCTCGTGTTTCTCTGTTGCAGGGGTTTTCTCCACTGAGACCTAACGAGTCCTAAAACTTCTATTTTCACCTCCTGTAATACCAGTGTCTCACCCTGTGATCAGCACAGGGGCAACCCAACAAGAGCCTGACTTCTCTTTTATTCTCTTTTCTCTCTGTATTGATAAGGTAGGAAGAGAGAGGTGTTTTTCCCGGTGTGTGCCAGTAATGCAGTATTCAATGCCTCCGCAGGGAGACAAAAAGTTTCTCTCTGAGGCATGTGAGGGTGTTAGCTCAAATCACACCCTTCTACAGCATTTCAAAATTGGCTGTGGGAAGTCTTGTTTTCTTAATCAAAACAAAATCCCTAGTTGCTGCCTTTTTGCCCTAGTTTCTCTCATGCAGTAGTGATGCAAGTGACTGCAGCCTAAAGTGACTGTAATTGCCTAATGGTGTTATTGACACATCTGGCCTGACATATAGGCAGCAAAAAAAAATGTTTCCCGCTTGTCAGTCTAAATCCAGCAAGATCTTCTTTAGCCAATTGTTGGAGAATAAGCTAAAAAAGGCCGGGAAAATAAGCAGGACAAGGAAAAAATGTTTTGTACCAAAAATCTTTTCCCTTTTCTTGCTGGGTGCCTTTGCAATGTAGGGCCCTCGATCTGGGTCTCTCTTCAAAGTGGTACTGTAGGAGCTTGACCAGCTTTTCACAGAAAACATTTGTTTCTAGAAAACCACCTGTAAAACAAAGTCTGAGGAAAGTGACTTCATTCTTCCCCTCCCCAGATCTCAAGGGGAGAAAGGAGAGACTCTTTGCAAATTTTGGTACCGTGCTGTGACAACGTGTGCACCATTTTCCCTGACTCCTCCTTCTTTCTGACCTATTTCTCTGGACTGTAGGCTCCTGAGGTCATACGCGTCCCTTCTTATATCGGTATACTGCATCTGGCACCACGGATTCCCAGCCTCAATTAACCATGCGGGATGTTACTGTGCTAATAAACAGAGAGGTGTACGGACAGACATTCTGACCTACATGTACAAAGTGCTCAGAAGAGGACGACATTCACAAAGTACACACCCATGTGTCTTCCTCTCTTCTGTATTGGGGTTTCTCCTCCACCAGGAGAATGGAGCAAGGGAGGAGAAAATGAGGCAAGGTCTGGGGAGGGAGCTGCCTGACTGGAAACATGTGCATTGCTAGAATTGCTAGAAGCCTCTGCTTCTAGCCCAGTATCAGTCTCCATCGCTGTGCTATTCGGCCAACCAAGTGCAGCGCTGCAATTCTCACACTTCTCCATGAACCAGACCCAAATGACCAACTTGCTGAGCAGCTGCACTCAGTACAAGGGGTCTCAGCATAGGGAGTAAATTCCATCCCAGGAAGGTCCAAATTCTGTGATTGCAGCCGGTCATGCAGAAAGATGGGGAGGAGAGATGCATTTGACAGCACAAGACCAGCAAAAAAGTGACTGCTGTATTGTTCTCTTCTGGTTCCCATGTGGACGGATGCTGTATCTATGTGGCCAGATGCATGCGGGCCTCCTGGGCTTGGCTAGTACAGAGGTACATTAGAGATGTAGCGTCACGTGTTGAGACTCCAGGAAAGGAAAAAAAGTATTTGAGGACAGCAGTCACTGAGTAGGGGAATGAACTGTGCCAGACTGTTAACTACATAAAAATTTGCCTATCTGTCCAAATGAGAAAAACAGCACCTGAATCACGTGGCACGAGTCTGGCTCACTAGAAAGCTTTTTTCCCACCAGTTACTGACAAGAAGCAAATGCTTTTTTAAATTACTAATAGATTCGAAGTGGGGTAGAAAGGGTTAGTACCAGGACTGGGAGCAGAAGTTAAAAGGAAAACAATGAGAGAGGGCAGAGGTGCGAGGTTTTGCTTCCCCACTGTTAGAGTCTTGAAGGATTTGATTCTGCCATCGAAGATGCACAGCATGTTGCTGAGTATCTTGCCACATTGACTGTCATGCCACGGCTCATCAAGGGATGGGAGCTGCACAGTATAAGAGCAGATCAGGGCTCAGTTCTTGTAAGGGTTTTTTGTTGTAACATACTTGCTTTGGCACTTCTTTCTGGGAGAAAACTCTAAAAATAGCCCCTTTTTGCAAACATTAGCAAAGAGGGGAGCTTTGTGCAGAAGAGCTGTTGTCTCTTGAAAACTGAGGGCTACCGCCTGTTCTGCATGTGTCCGAGCAAGGCAAGTGGATTCCCAACTCGGACATCTCAGTAAAATGCCTTCTGGGAGACAGAACAACCTTGGGATTGTGAGCCGTTTCTCTTCCCCCACATCTCTCTGGCACTGCCTGTCTTATTGCAGAGTGCCTGCCTAGGGGTTTTCAGGACTGGGTATTTAGTTTCTTAGAAATGCAGAAAAATCTAACTCATCCTTTTGTAGTGACCCCCTCTGTGCAATACTTCCAGGAGTCCATGGACACATGCAGAAAATAGCTTTACTGCTGGTCAGTGTGTTTCTGCCGGGGTTTCGTTTTTGAAGAGAGTTGGGCTCTTGATAACCAGAAAGGTTGTTCTCTTGCAGAAAACTTTGCTGCAGAGAAAGTTTTTCTGAAAAAAACCCGGCTATTTTGACTGACAGCAATTTGGTTTTGGATTGAAGAGCTGACCCAGCCAGGCTGCAGGGGTTGTTGCTCTGTTACCTGTCATCCCCTTCAGGATGGGTCTGTCCAGCTCAGCAATGACTCTGACAAGTTGCCTAGAAGGAGGCACCTTCTTACCTCCCCCCAAGCCCAGGGACTCTGAAGAACCTGGGAGATGCAGCAGAGGAGCAGGAGACATCCTAAGCAGGGGTCCTGCACATCGCTGCAACAACATGGCCATGTTTAAGTCTTTGGTTGTTTTTTTTTTTACTAGCAGTGTTTCTCAGGTGTAATGTTATTCAGACTGCCTACAAAAATCATAATTGTCTGAAGGGAAAAACATTTCTGAAACAGCTGTCATTAGCATATACAGCCCCACTTTGCTCCAGCAATTACCAGGCATAAAAGCAGAAGGCTGCGCATTCTGTCAAAGCTTTAAACTTCTCTCCTCAGTGCCCATCCCCGAAATCAAATGATTTCTTATTTAGGTATCTCTGGAATGCTTATAAATATCTTATAAGTTCTTTATGCCACAAGTAATGGACAGACAACTTGTCAAATATGGCGGCAGTGAAATATTACATGAGTTGCTGGCTGAAATACCCTCCTGTTAGAGTTCATGTGTAAATGCAGTGCCATCTTTTATCCAGAAACATCATTTGTCATATTACACTCCTGTTAGTTTTCCTCCTAACCCCTAGATAGATGGCTTATTTAGAGAAACCCAAGCTATTGATGGCAGCAAATTGAATTATTCATGTGTCGCATAAAAGAATACATCTGAGCTCTCTCTTAAAACCCTTTTTCTTTTTCCCAGCAATGTCTGAAACAGTCTCTGAAAACGAAATAAACAGAATGTTCTGGGGAGTGAAAGAAGAAAGGAAATGTAGTGCTTTCAAGCTAAACCTTCCCTCTTTTTTCCCCCTACAAATGCTGCTGTGAAACTCATCCTTTGGACGGGAGCATGAAAGTGTAGAGACAGAAGGTGGATCCTAACCCATGTCCTGTTCCATCTAACCCCTCTTCTCAGTGTTCCCAAGCACCTCCTGGCCGTGTCTCTTATGCAACGTGAAGAGAAGGCCCTGGAGGGGTTTATGCACGTCGAACCCCACGACATGCATGCTTTCTCTCAATGCTTCCAGCTTGCACAGGCTTGGATGGTCCTGCATTGCGCTGATAAGACCTGAGCTGCTGTGTCCTCAGCCTCTCCTGGGAGTAGGTATCCAGAAAGCATGTTTGGACACCCCCTTGGGGAGCTGAGCATGGTGGGGTTCCCCTTCCAGAGAGCTCTGCAGCATGGGCGAAGAGGCAGTCTAGTGCAGACATGGGAGGCTGTAGCACAGATGATATCCAAGGCAGGTCTTGCATGCTTTAGGTACTTGCTTTTATGGCTATTTCCCTTAGGGTCTTGCACCTTGTTTTCACTAATGAATTCACTGGTCATCGCAGCTCTTGTGAGGTGGAAAACAGTATTTTCTCCATTCTG